CGGCTTCTGCGCTAGACAGAGTCCAGTCTCTTTCTTCCCTTCTATTTCTCCAGAATATTCTCCGACGCTGCCCCACCTTCCAGGGACCCTCTAAATCTCTTTTGGGGGGCTGGCCCCCCATACCTGTGGAACTTCACGTGCGTGGTATGCGTCTGTGTCTGGCTCCCTTCACGTACTGTGATATTTGTGCGACTCCTTTGCGGTGCTGTGTGTGCTGTCAGTTCACACTTGTTGCATGTTCCCTCCATCTTTTCGGCTTCCCACTTTTCTCTTAGATGGGTTATGTTTCAACCTAGTCTAGAATGCCTTGCAGATTGGCAGGAAAAACCTTCAGGGTCTCCAGGTAGATGACCAGATCCCGGGAGGCCCAGAGCTCTGTTTACATTTCTAGACTGAGTCTTGTCAGGTCCGCATCACGGGAGGTGACACCATGACAAACGGGAAACCACGCAGCACGTCCAAAGGCCAGACCCAGACGTAATCCAGTCAGAGAGCATTTCTTCTGAGTCCTCTGAGGTGAGCTCTGTCTCTCATCACCCCATCGTCCACCAAAATAAGTGGCAGGTGAATCCAGTGACAAGCAGCTCTTGGTACTGACCCAAGACCTCAGACAAGCTGCTCACGCTCTTGGGGCCTCAGATGCCTCCTTGACCAAGTGAAAGTGTTAGACCAGTGGTTCCCAGTCTTGTTGGCATTCGGGGCCGGTTTTGTGGGAGACAATTTTCCACAAAAACGGGGGGGGGGGGGTGAGGGGGATGATCTTGGGATGTTTCAAGCACAATACGTTTATTGTACACTTTATTTCTACTATTATGACATTGCAATATATATTATTATTATGAAATTATAAAAATAATATTTTGATATGAGTCTGTAAGCAACTGATTTTTTTTTTAAGTTGGAGTCTTACCCCATTGCCCAGGCTGGAGTGCAGGGGCACACTCATGGCCACCCCAGTGTCGTCTGGCTGGGCTCCAGCGATACTTCTGCCTCAGCCTTCCAGAGAGCCGGAACTACAGGTGTGCGCTACCATGCCCAGCTCATTTTTGATGTATTATAGAGATAAGGTCTTGCCAAGTTGCCTGGGTTGGACTGGAACCCGCAGGCTCAGGAAATCCTCTCGCCTCGGCCTCCCAAAGTGCTGGGATGACAGACTGAGCCAGCGAGCGGCCAGCAACTGATTATTGATGGTCTCTGCGCAGTCCAACCTCCCTGTCCATGCTCATCTGTATCCGCAGCCCCTCCCCAGGGCCGGCATCACCGCCTCAGATCATCGGGCATTCAGCCTCACTAGTCATTAAGGAGATGCAAACCAAAACTACACTGAGATACCACCTAACTCAAGTCAGAATGGCCATCATCAATAATTCAAAAAACAGCCGGGTTCAGTGGCTCAGCCTGTAATCCCGCGCCTTGGGAGGCTGAGGTGAGTGAATTGCCTGAGGCCGCGGGTTCGAGACCCGCCTGGGCAACTTGGCGAGACCTCGTCTCTACAATAAATCAAAAAATTAGCCGGGCGTGGTAGCGCGCACCTGTAGTTCCAGCTACTTGGAAGGCTGAGGTGGAAGGATCGCCAGAGCCCAGCAGGTCGAGGATGTGGTAGCCGGGAGCGGCCACTGCACTCCAGTCTGGGTGACAGAGTGAAACTCCAACTCAAAAAAAAAACTCAAAAAACAACAGTTGCTAGAGAGGATGTGGGGAAAAGGGGACACTTCTACACTGTTGGTGGGAGTGTAAACTAGTGCAGCCTCTGTGAAAATCAGTGTGGCGATTCCTAAAAGCTCTAAAAATTGACCTTGCATATGACCCTGCAACCCCCCTATTGGGAATATACCAGGAAGAACTCAAATCACCCTATCAAAAAGATAACTGCACACGAATGTTTATCCGCAGCATTGTTCACAATAGCAAGAACCTGGAACCAACCGTGCTGCCCATCAAAAGAGGACTGGATAAAAAAAATGTGGTACATATATACACAATGAAATACTATGTAACCATAAAGAAGAACAAAATCATGAACTTCGCAGCAACCTGGATGGAATTAGAGTTTATAATACTGAGCGATCTCTCACAGAAACAAAGAGCTGAGTATCACATGTTCTCACTCATAAGTGGG